CCCCAGTCAGCCAGAGCTTTCTAAGGCATGTTAAATAACTTATGTCAACATCTAAAAAACTCTGACTGGACAATGAATCAGTTTATTATTTTATTAAAAATGCATTAGAACATGTTAAATTTGTGTTCTTGTTCCTACACATTGAATAAAAATTGCAAGGGAAAAATTTTTTAATTCTCCAATATTTTTAATTAATCCAAAAACTCAATTTACATCAGGATGCATTTTGCTTTTAATTTTTACACGAAGTCAAGTAGTTTGGTTTCTAAAGAGTCAGTATTTTTAGGGCAGGTTCTACCCTAGCGGTATCAACTAATGATTCATAACTTTGCAGTCATGAAAGGCATCTTGCAAATCCATGGGATAAGCACCTGCCTCTTGCCAAAATCTCACCTATAAACCACCCCCAACATATCATCGTGATAATTTCTTTCCCAGTGTTTAAAGAGTAAAATTTTTCTTCCTTACTGTTATTATTATTATTATTTTTATCATTGGTGCTGGTGATTGAACCAAGGACCACTGAGCCTCACTTCCAACCCATCTTTATTTTTTTAACAATTTTATTGAGACAGAATTCACATAGTGTACAATTTATCTTTTTGAAATGTGCAGTTTGATGGTGTTTAGTATTTCACAGATATGTGAAACTCACAATTTTAGAACATTTTCATAACCTCAAAAAGAAACCCCAGGCTCTTTAGCTATGCTCCCAAATCCATCCTTGGAAACCATGAATCTACCTTTTGTCTTTATAGACTTGTCTGTTATGGGCATTTCATACAAAGAGAATCTTAAAATACATGGCCTTTGTGATTAGCTTCTTCCACTTAGCATTATGTTTTTAAGCTTCATCCATGTTGTAGCATCTGTCAGTAATTCATTTTTTATGACTGTAAAATATTTCACTGTATGAATCAATCTGTCTATCATTTGATGGACATTTGCATTGCATTATTAATAATTAATAATACTGCTAATAAACATTCACATACAATTTTGGAGGTATATAATTAGGAGTAGAATTGCTGGGGTCATGAGGCTACTCCTTATTTAGCTGAAGAGCTGTCAAATTGATTTCCAAAGTGGCTGCACCATTTTAAATTCCCACTAACTTTACATGTCCTTGCCAACATTTATTATTTGCATTTTTAATTTTAGCTATCTTAGGTGTCATGAAGTGGTATCTTACTATGGTTTTGATTTGCATTTCTCTGATGATTAATAATGTTAAGCACATTCTCATGTGCTTATTGCTATTGTATAACTTGCTTGGAGAAATGTCTATTCATATCTTTTTTCCTATTTTTTATACTGGGCTATATATCTTTTTATTATTGAGTTGTAAGAGTTCACATGTACCCTGGACATAAGTCTCTGTGCTAGTCAGCTTTCCATTGCTGTAACAGAATACCTGAGGAGGAAAAAAAAAAAAACTTAAAAGGAGGAAAAATTAACTTTGACTCATGGCTTCAGAGGTATCAGTTGGTGGGTTTTAGCTTCGTTGTTTTGGGGGCCTGTGATGAGGAGAACATGATGGTGACAGAGAAAACTGTTCACTTCAAGATGGCCAGGAAGCAAAGAAGGAGAGGGAGGGGCCAAAGTCCCAATATACCTTTC